CTCAACAGCACGCAAGAACGTCGGCTTCGCCTGTTTCAGCAGCAGCAGCAACTAACGGTCAAAACACTGCTCGAACCAATCCTTCGCCCATCATGCAAGCAGGGTTAGTGCAACAACAACAGGCTCAACAGCAGCAACAACAAGCGCAGCAGGCCGGTCAGCTCAGTCTCAACTTGAGCTTAGCAGTCGCGCAGATGCAGAGCGGAGCAGTCAACCTTCAGCAGTTCCAGGCCCTGCAACAGCAGGCTCAGATGCTGCCACAAGCGCAGGCGGGCAAGGCAACGGCGGCCCAGCTGATGGCCATGAAGGCTGCCCTTGCACAGAACGCCAACCTCAATCTTCGTCTACCGCCTAACAGGGCTCTGCAGATTGCCCAACAGGCTGCTCAGAAGGCGTTCAACTCGCAACAGCAGGCACAGCTGCAGCAAGTTCAACAGCAGCAGCAGACGGCGGCTCAACAAGCTCAGGGCAACGGCAACGCTTCGAAACAAGGATCGCCTGCCATGTCGCGTGCCTCCACCGCAGGCTCGCCACGTTTCGCTGCCAACGGTATCAACGGTGCTATGGCTGGAAGCTCTCCGGTGCAGAACGGTACGTCGGCTACCACCAACGCTACCAACTCGCCATCGCCGCAGATCTCGGCTGCCAACCGCGCTGCGATTGCTGCTGCCACCAACGCAGCCAATGCCAAGATGATGGCGCAGCAATCTCCCGTCTCGTACCACGCCTCGCCCGTCCAAGCCAACTTGAACTTGCACGCAGCACAACAGCAGCAGCTTCAGAACGCAGCTGCTGCCGCTGTCGCTGCCGCCGCTGCAGCAGGGGCCAATGCTGGCTCACCTCATCTTGCAACTCGAGCTTCGCCGCAGACGCAGCAGGGTTGAGTGTAGGCGACCTCCTCACCACCACCACCATTCTCCACTTTCACATACACACAAACAGGTCTTGTTCGCATTTCGTTTCTCTCTGTACATAGTCTCGTGCTTTGTCAGCTTCTCAGGGGTTTTTTTTTCTTTTTTCTTTTTCACATCTCCAAAAATACATTGCGAACTCGGCTATCCTTTTGGCCTTCAACCATCTTGTTTGCTGGAGTGTCGCGATATTAATGTGATGGTTGTCGTTGTGCTTGTTCACTACGCGAGCTAGCCGATTCAACGGAAGATTGAATCCGAACCCCAGACGACATCCTGAAAAGGACGTTGAAGGAGGCAATATTGAAGTGAAGCGATCGAGGCAAGTTTCGCAACTCGTGTCGTTTCCTCGGCTCTCAGGGTCGCCTTGGGGATCAACCTGGCAAGCACCACATTCGCTCCTCAGACACGCACATATATCGCACATTCTATTCCACAGCCCAAAAGGAGACGTAAGAACAAAGATTACGATTGACCAACAAGGACAGCGAAGCAAGATACACGAAGGGGCATGCGAGACTAGATGCGATCTAACTCCTCAAGAGAACTCGGTCTCATACGCATCCACTTCATTCTTGGACCGGTTTTAGCGTATTCCGAGACCTTGAAGCCGTAAATTTTAGGAGTATAGATCCTGCAATATGGTATGCGCTTTCCTAGTTGTTCGGGTTGAATAGTTCTATGAACCAGCGTACCTGCTGTGCTACCTGCTGCTGATTCGGGTGGTGTCGAGGAGTCCTTCTTTTCTCGCTCTGCCACATCGTGCGTAGTAGGGTTGGCATTGTACTGCAGCCCGCCACTTGCGGCAACCGCTGCATCGTTGCCATGTTTGGGAGCAATGATACTCGGGAACAAATCTCTATAACACTGATACAACAAATGAGGGAAGGTTGTACCAAAAAACGCTCCATCCACACCATGAAACCTACTACTAGGAGGACTATAATTATCGATACAATTGGGACAGAACAACTTGACCGTATCCAACCCGGGCAAATCGCTCCTTCCGCAAGGCAGTACGGGGTGGGAATGACAGAAGACGCGGGGACAATATCCGAAATGTCCTGCTTCATACTTGTCTACCATCTGTTGCATTCCATGCCTTGTCAAAATGTATCGTTGGTGAATCAAGCCGTATAAGAGTTCGGCGGAAGATTCGACGATGGAAACATCGGGGATTTTAAGCGAATCTTCCTCGGGTGGTTCCACGTCGAGGATCATTTCGAGTGCTTCTTTGTAGAATGGAACGAGAGCGTTGAGACCGGTAAGGTTGAAATCGTCTTCGATGAAATCCTCTCCTACTTCGGCGAAATATTCGTGGCCGGGGAGAGAGCAGAACCAGGAAATCCAGGTGAGAGATTCGGTGCCGCTTTCTGATGGTGATTCTGATTCTATAGCGTGCCAAAGATGGGAAGGGAAAAAGTGAGGTTAGTAGTCTGAAAGCGGAAAGAGCGTATTGCTACGATGGCAAGGCTGCAGATGGAGGGATAGGGGAAGAAGCTTGCCATAAATCTCATCTTCATAAGTTCCAACGTTAACATCTTGCTCTTCTTCCTCGTCGTCTTCTTCGATCTGGTCTCCTATAGCATAGGCTATACTGCCGTCGTCAAGTGTATCATCTCTGGGTCGAACAGGATTGTTCATGGCTATGTCTTTATTCGTTCCCAACATGCTGGGTTGAGTTGCCGTTGGTCAAGATTTGGCTGGATGCGGACAGTGCTCGTGTGCGGTGAGGTTGCGGCCGAAGCGATTGAGCAGGAGAGGACCTAGGTGCAGCTACCTTGGTAATGTGGCGGGAATGCTAGCGGGTATTGTGAGGAGGCTGTGCGGAAAGTCGATGCTGTGAGAGCGGGAGGGACGCGGATGCAATGAAGTTGTCCAACGTCTCGCAAGTCGGAGCGGAAGCGAGTTGCAAAAGGCGCAACTAGGAAACAAGCCCTCCGAGACTGGGCGTGTGTGTTTTGTGGCGGCGGTGCGGTGGTGCGGTGGCGCTCGCTGGCCAACAACGAAAGGCTGAGCGGATGATAAAGTGTGGAACAGAGTTGCGAAGGAGTGAATTTGCGACCAAGTGAGTGAGTGAGTGATGTTGGAATTTTACCACAAGATTGCGGATCGCGGGATTTTGAGACTGCGTGTTAGTTGTTGGCCTACGCGTAGCCCACTTTTCTCAAGTTCAACCCGATCTATCTTCTGATGGACACTACTGTGATGTCTGAGACTTTAGATCTGATGGTTGGTGCCCATGGCCACCGTATTCTCCAGCTCAGGACGTCAGTAGGCTGTTTCAAGATGAGCTTCTAGCTACTGCCTTTGTACACAAGAGCGAATACACCCAAGACGGCGAGTCAGGATCCATTCGAAGGCAGGTTGTTACAATTTGGGAAGCTGTGTTTCGACAAAACTTGTCTGAAGATGTATATACATGAGATGGATAAGCTCGAATCGACTATGGTGCATCGAGTGGTCTTGACGTAGGAACCGAATGCAAAGCATCAAAGTGATGTGATCAAGCGAGGAGGCAGCAATGCTGTGCATTGGCATCGCTGCATGTTGAGCGAGCGAGTAGGGATATCGGCACGCTTACTCGTCCTTCTTACCAGAGCCAGCCTTCTCAGCCTGCTTAATCGCAGCCTTGTCGGTCTGAGGACCAGCCTGTCCAGCAGCACCGAACAAACCAGGGGGAGCCTTGAAAGGACGCTTCAAGTCGCCCGTAGCAGGCTGGCCCCAGACCCAGATCTTGGCCATGTTGGATTCCAGTGCGTTCTTCAATGGCAGAATCGACTGGATGACAAGAGGGTTGGTGTATCCCATGTAGAGATGCATGAATCCGACCATAGCGCAACCCATCAAGATACCGCGAGTGGATTTGGAGATCTCGGCAAGGTCGTAGTCACGGCTGGTGGTGGTGACGAGCTCGCCAGGTTCCTGCGACATGGGGTTCTTGGCGTTGACGTACTTGATGACGGTAAGGTCGTTGGCTTTTTTAACTCGGATGGAGCAGTAGTAGTAGACGGCCAAGCAGAGGAGTTGGACAGCGACGTAACCGGCACGTGCGTATGTGATGTACTCTGGCTTATCGTCGAAAGGGATTCGCTTGGCGACTTGCATGGCGCCGAACATGAAGGCCTGTGCAGAGAAAAGAAGGAGGAATGAAGAGAACGGAGTCAGTGAAAAGCTTCGTTCGGGAGAAGGAATGAACAGATGTGCCTGGGATGCTTACCATATTTCCGATAGCTCCGCTCATGATGAAAGATGTACGCCGTTAGACGGGAGCGATATGCGAAGGGAGGATGTGTGTGGTAGTAAAGATGCGAGGTGTTGCGTGTGGAGAAGAGAAAGAGGTAGGAACGAGAAGAATTGCAAACAAAGCGTTCTGTGGCGGGCGCGCGGACAGTGTGTGCGTGACAAGTTGGAAGTTGGCCGGAAGAAGCCGCTGAGATTGGATTGGCTGTGTGCAATTGTGCTCCTTCCCTATGCGGTAGCGGATTTGCCCAACACAACTCAGCGCACGACGTGCAACGCCGCCCTCGTTACCACCAACCGCCAACCGCCACTGTTGCTGCCATGTTCAGTCTGCCATCTTCTCGGACGAACGCTACTGATGATCCATCCAAACTTGTTCAAAGGGAACACAGCTTGTCGAGCTATTAGACGTTGCCTTCACAAGATCAATGCTATATATATATATTGTTGTTTGAGCTAGTCTAACATCTGCGGCCATAGAACCTTGAAAGCACCAGTTGAAGATGCACCGACATCGCCAACGCGTGATGTATTAAATAGGAGCTCACAGGATCGGGGAATCGGAAAGGAATCAGGCGATGAAGAGGACAAGCAGAATGCGAAGCTAGTGGGAGCTAACGCAGCCTATGCACGAGGATTGACACCATGGTATGCAGGGAATATGTTGATATGACAATGCTTATGAAAGAAGATACGTGGCACATGGGCATGACTCGACAAGGGGAGCACAGTCAGGTGCTGAGAATATGTATATATGCCCTTAGCTTAGTCGTTACCTCCTTACAAATTCAAGCCTTTTACATAGTAGCATCAGACTGAAAGGAGTGCCTGACCGTGGCCTCCTGAGTGGTGTTCCTAATTTCAACTGCACCGCATCCCGTCCGATCTGCGAAGTTAAGCAAGGTATCGCCTAGTCAGTACTGCGCTGGGGGACCACGCGGGAATCCTAGGTGCTGCAGTTCTTTTTCTTTTTCTTTTTCTTTTTTGTCTGTTAGGCTGCGCTTACTCACACGAGAAATTCGAGACAATTTTTTCGAGACTGAGCAGCAGTAAAAGCCAATTCTGTCACAACTCGCCCGGAAGACGGAGAGAGAGAGAGAGAGCAAGATGATGATGCTATCTAGTTGAGGAATCTGATATTTTGCGTGGTTGTGATGATAGTCTTATTACAAGTTCGAACACGGACAGAACAAGGTCTTTGTTGCTTGCGCATGCGCGGGGCTGTCGCAGTGGTTTTATCTCGGCCGGGATTCCCGCTCTGTTATTTCTCCCTCAACTTATCTCAGCAGCAAGGTGTCATGGGCCTGACTGCTCAGGAAGCAGGAGGGTCACTGGTTCATATGGAAGGAGCATAGGTATCAGAGAGCTAGTCGATACCAGTAGAGAGCATGGTCATAGTGTAGTCTCCATGGAGACCATGGACTCCTACGGAGTCACATGCAAAGGAGGACCGGGCCCATATGCGAGGAGGGCCAGGCACAGCCACGAAGAGGACCAAGCTCAAGGAGCAGGCACAGCCACAGAGGGGACCAAGCTCAAGGAGCATGCAGATGGTTACCACTCAGGGGCTCGAGAGACAAGAGCCAAAGGAACCACCATCACCGGTCAAAGGGAAGGAGCAGTGTATAGGAAACCAGCAAGTAGGTCCTGAGGAGGAGGAGCGGTGTCGAAGGAGTCGACACAGCTCAGGAGGCACAAGGGTGCCAAGCAAGCAGGGTAGCAAGGAGGAGGAGCAGTGTTGAAGGAGTCGACACAGCTCAGGAGGACAGGAGTGGTGCTAGAGGGACCCCCTGTACAGTACTCGACGAAGAGGGTACTCTCTGGAGAGAGAGCAGGAGCAGTGTTGCTGGCGACGCTGTGAAGAGGTATATAACCATGCCTTCTCGTCATCAGAGGTCGAGTGGATCCTCATCCACTCTACACTCACCATATAAACTAGTTATCACTTCAGCATAAGTATACATTAGTTTCAGTCAGCATAAGCAGCAATCTATCAAGGTTGCTCCTCATTGTAGTGTGTGTGTTGTATCACCACTACCTGACATCCGAAGGCGCCCCTAGCAGGTTAGCGGTCTGGATATAGATAGAACCGAAGGCAGTAGTTCACTGCGGTCCGGGGATCACCTCAAGCATCAGTCAACACACTGGACACTCATGTTGACACCACCGAATTACCACCAATGCCACCGACCTTATCACCAACACCATCAACCTCGTCATCATCAACACTCACACCAGACCTTGGTGTCATCATAACCTTCGTATTGATACTGATCGTGCCGAGCCACCTCTGAACGGAGTGTCAACAGCGGTTAGTCGAGACCTGCAATAGCAACCACATTCATACCAACACCACCGAGCTGTCGTCACACACTTCGATAGCTGTCACACAACTCGATAGTTGCCAAACGATTCGACGAGACCAGTTTAAGCTCCAGCACTACCACCAGACCCAGGTCTCAGGCGCGCGACCCCTGACACAACGCTTCTACAGGTTCACCTCTCAATTTGTTAATGATTGCCCTGGACTTATCTCGACCTGGGTGTCCCAGTCGCTCATGCCAGAGCTGTTTTGTGGAAACTTTTGGTCTCCGTTTGGCTAGCTCAAATTCTTCATCCACCCCTTCAAACAGCAGTGTTGACGCAGCCATCGCATTTGGTTGCCATGTATCGCCTTGTATCTCTAGCAATCCACTCTTGTGATTCTTTACTATTTTTAGCAGCGTGCCGTCTGCCAAATGTATTTGTCCCCCTTAGGGTCTAGGGCCACACGTGCTCCTTCGTCTGTCAATGAGTTGGTTGACAATAGATTAATATTGAGACTGTGAACATAAAGAACATTTTGGAGCAGTATCTCTCCATACTCTGTTGATATGCTAATGTCCCCTACAGCAGTTGCTTCTAAGATTTCGCTTCCGGCGGTATATACACGCTTTCTGCACTTTCTTGGATGGATCAACATGCTGTAGTCATTAATCATGTGGAAGGTTGCTCCCGAATCCAGGACCCAATGGGTCGATTGGTCTGGTTTTGGGGGCCTTTGCCAACTCGGGGTGAGTGAGCACCAGACTTCCTATTTAATCTGGGCGAGAGAGGAGTTCTCGGGAATGGTGACGGTGGTGTCACACTTTCTGGTGCCATGTCCATAGCCTCTGCACACCCAGCAGCAAATCCTCCTTGGTCTAGTCTTAGCCTTTGAACTTTCAGCATCCTCATCGGTGTTGCTATCCTGCTCATTGCTACCAGCTGCTCAGGCGCTTGCCTGTCATGGATCCACCTTTTGGGCAGGAATGCTTTTGATTGCAGATTGGTGCATCATTAATGCTGTGGTGAGGGCATCGAAGCTAACTTGATGGACAGTGGCGACCGTTTCTTTGTAGACTGGGTGCCGGATCATGCACCTTTGGAGTGCTGCGTATATGGCATCGTCACCGAAAGGTGCTCCCAGTAGGCTTGTCTCCGTCTGCATGACTCTAATCTCTTGGATTAGCTTTCGTGCATCGGCATTGAACATCTTGACTTCATTGAGTTGAGTGAGGAGTGCGATTTGTCGTGAGGTCCTAGTAGCTTCACTGGTCAAACCCTTTTCAATCTTTTTCCAGGTTTGGTGGAAAGTCAGATATGCCTTACTAATGTCAAGCAATAAGTAGAGGATGTTGTGCTCTCCTTCGGTGTCTAAGGTGCTATGTAGCACACCCGCTAAAGCATTGTCAAAGTTTCTGTTCCATTTTGGATGATTGCTATCGTACGTGCCTTCCAAGTGCTGTATGGCATGAGGAACAACTCTGAGAGTGGCCTTGATGAGGGTGCTCCAGCTATAGTAGTTTTGCGACATGAGTTTAGGGACCGCCTCCATGATCTTGGCTAAGGTGCGGTAGTCGTACCGCTCATTGTCATCGTCGGAGTCTGACCCTTCTATCACGAACCGGCCCTACGGTTGGCAATGACGACGAGGGCGAGGTCGAGAGGAGAGGCAGAGGACACTACCAGACTTCAGAAGGAGTAGATGAGAGAGTTGATTGAGAGAATGACTTATGATCTCTTTTCCTTAAGGGAAAAGAGAGGAGAAGAAGGAAGGAGCAAACTATGAGATCAAAAGTACAAGACTCGATGTGACGAGTCTAAGACTCTTTTGCAGTGAAATGACGTGTCAATGTTAGATCTAGGATAATTACGAGAGGGGTCATGACCGAGTCATGACAGTATCCCCTGTCAGAGGTCGCGCGCCTGAAACCCAGGTTGGTCTGTCGAGATACTCGGTGACTATCTAACTGTGCGACAGCTATTGTCTCGGTATCGGTCTCTAAGAGCTAGTTGCTCGGCGACTATCAAGTTGCGCGGTGACAGCGGGTGGTGTTTGTGGTATATGTTATTGTAGGTTTCGGCTGACCTCTGTGGACACTCCGTTCAGAGGTGGCTCGGCGCGATCAATATCAATGTGTAGGTTGCGATGACACCAAGGTCTGGTGTGAGTGCTGATGGTGATGAGGTTGATGGTGTTGGTGATGAGGTTTGGTGTATGTTGATGATGATGAGGATGATGAGGTTGGTGATGAGGTTGGTGGCATCAACACGAGTGTCCAGTGTGCTGACTAATGCTTGAAGTGATCCCCGGACCGCAGTGGACTACTGCCTTCGGTTCTATCTATATCCAGACCGCTAACCTGCTATGGGCGCCTTCGGACGTCAGGTAGTGGTGATACAACACACACACTACGATGAGGAGCAACCTTGATAGATTGCTGCTATGCTGACTGTAACTAATGTATACTTATGCTGAAGTGATAACTAGTTATATGGTGAGTAGAGTGGATGAGGATCCACTCGACCTCTGATGACGAGAGGGCATGGTTATATACCTCTTCACAGCGTCGCCAGCGACACTGCTCCTGCTCTCTCTCTCCAGAGAGTACCCTCTTCGTCGAGTACTGTACAGGGGGCCCTCTAGCACCACTCCTGTCCTCCTGAGCTGTGTCGACTCCTTCGACACTGCTCCTCCTCCTTGCTACCCTGCTTGCTTGGCACCCCTGTGCCTCCTGAGCGGTGTCGCCTTCTTCGACACTGCTCCTCCTCCTCAGGACCTACTTGCTGGTTTCCTATACACTGCTCCTCCTCCTTCGACCGGTGATGGTTCCTTTGGCTCTTATCTCTCGAGCCCCTGAGTGGTAACCATCTGCATGCTCCTTGAGCTTGGTCCTCTTCGTGGTGGGCCCTCCTCGCATATGGGCCCGCTCCTCCTTTGCATGTGAATCCGTAGGAGTCCATGGTCTCCATGGAGACTGAACTACGGCCATGCTCTCTACTGGTGCCCTCCTGCTTCCCGAGCATTCAGGCCCATGACATCCCCCCCCCCAAAAAAAACGATGACAGGGGAGGAGTTTAGCAATGAGTAGGAGATGGGCGGGTGGGGTTGACTGTATGGAATTCAGCAATCAGGTTGCTAGCATGGATGAGATTGGAGGCTGGTTCCCAGGAGTTGTGGTCAGGCCCATATCCGACCCAGCAGACAAGGTAGAAAAGTGGGTCACGGTAGCGATGATCGACCTTGCTATCGAGGATTTGTTCGACTTCATATTCCATATCACTTTCGACTTCGACTGGGGGGGGTGGTGGCTGGACCCGATTTGGGATTGTGTTGGCGACATAGGGTTCCAAGCGGTCAACATGGAACACATTATGGATCTTCATTGATGGAGGAAGCTGGAGGTGGTAGGCATGTGAGGAGATGACCTCACTGACAGAGAAGGGTCCAAGGCGGCGGTAGTCGAGCTTCTTGGTGGGGTGGAGGGAGCGGATATTATCAGCAGAGAGCCAAACTCTGTCACCAGGCTGGAACTGAGGGGCGGGAAGTCAGCGTTTATCAAATTGTTCAGCCGATTGGCTGTTGGCTTTAACCAGCTCTCCACGAACATACTCATGGAGCTGCTTTAACTGATCTGTGTAGGAGCGGGCGGCAGGGAAA